TCAAAATGTACGGGATTCATGTAGGAAGAATCTGAGGAAATTTACCACAGATGAAAAATTCTTACCTCAGTCCAGGTTCGAACGCCTGATCTGCGGCTATGTAGTCCATCTCTCTACCATTGAGCCACATAGTCTGTATTTTTTCCAAAAGTTCCAATCGCTTTTCGTTGCGACCTTTTATTAGAGTACCATGAATGATAAAACCAGTTTAGAACCCCCCCCCCCTCCTCCTCCTTTCTCACCAACTGATTTCGAAAAGGAGTCGCGGAGGAAAGTTATAGTTTGTATAAACCAATTCCTTTTAATGAGACCTCATTACAATACCATGAAGGGTAAACATGCTTTTACCCCACCCCCATTGTCAAACATGTTGTGGCATTATTATGGACATTATTCAACGCGCTATTAATTCGTATAAACGCAAGACACTACGAAAATACACTACCCAAGACAAAGTTTGCCAGGCAAAAAAAGAAGATATTTTAACAATATTTAAAAAATAGTGATGTTTACATTTTTTAGTTATAAACAAGGCAAGGAATAATATGCACTTCAACATGTAGAAATATGCGCATATATATGCACAAAAATAGTGATAATTATGCACCAAATATGCATGTTCTTTTAAAATGCACAATTTTTCCACAAATTTTGGTATTTAAAACAACAGGTTGCAATAACTTCATAGTATAATTTTCAAAAAATTGAATAAATTCACAAAATATAACTAAAAACTAATTAATTACAACTTACACTACCCTTTGATACCAACGAGAAGGAAAATGCTACTAAGTAGGTACTGCTTTGTAAAACTCCAAAGAAAAATTAATAATTACGGCAGCGACTACAAATGCAGACGTAAAAACTGCAAGCTTTTTATGCAATCGTCGGAATTTATGACTCACTAAGATACACAAAACCCGTGGCGTCGACTTATGAACAGGAAAGCGCAAAAGTTTCTTGCTTTGCAATTTTATAATAGGCCAGAGACAAGAATTCTTTAGAAATAACTACACAGGGATCAAAAATGCTTGAATATGCTCTTGATAATATTTTATGCACAAGGGCACTGAAATATGCAAAGTATGCAAATATTAATTGGGTTATTTGAACTCTATTCAAGTTGATCAGCCCAGATCCAAAAGCACACACATGGCATATTATTAATTTAAAACATGCATTTGCATAAAATCACTGCCGTGGTTATAAAAAAATGCTCTATCAAATAACACAAAAAGTAAAACGGAAACCATAAGAAAAACGAGAAAAGTGGCCATAATATTTTATTTTGAAATATGTTTTTAAATAACTTTAGTAAAAAATAAAAACGATTTTGCAAAAGTTGGTTTTTTCAGGATATTTCCGAAAATAGTCGGAATTTTTTCAGTTTCAATTCGGCATTTGGTTAAGTATCAAAATACGCAACTTTGCCAAATTTAAAGTACCTGGATGGACCAAATGGAAAATATGTCCGATAGGTATTCTCGCACAATAAGGCGATGTGCTCGAGTGCACCATCCCGTTGAAACCAACAGTTTCCAACTTTTGTTTTTTTTGTGTGCGGTACATCGTTGTATTCGTAATAAAAAATGCTACTCAATACAGTGTGTACTGTTTTACGGCCCATATAAAAAATAAAGTTGATGATGATTTCTCCGAAACGAAACGTTGTATTAAAAATCTCTTAACGCTGTCTTGTAGAGCTAAAGTGGCAATGAGAAAGTGTTTTTTATTTGTTTGGATCTGTTCAGATAACATATGAAAAAAATAATTTCTGACATATCTTCGGAAGTTATTGGAATTTTCCGGTTTTGTGTAAAGCATGATAATAACTGTTTGCGCATCTTTTCTCTAATTTAACCATCGTCGTATCTTCTATGGTTTCGGAGATCCCCATGATAGACATCCTCATCCTGGACACAGTGTATATCACTATAACAAAGTGAATTTAATTGAATATTTGGAGACATGAGGAAAAATGTGAATGATTCTCAGACCGCATTCACTGCGCAATTCGCAATCTGCTCATGGCAACGCTAATCATTTTTTCAAGGGCGAGTCCAGGGGGGTTGAGCATCACTACGAGTGTTGCGGCACTACTGTAAAACTGTATAAATTGGAAAATACTGTACCCAACATTGTAATTCCTCTAAGAGTTTTTTAAAAATTGCTATTAGTGTTGATAGTTGCGAAAGGAGCTTCTCCAAGAAGAAGTTAATAAAAAATTATATCGCTCCACAGTGAGTTTAAGACTACAAAATCCTTGCAATATTGTCCATAGAACAAAAAATTACGCATAATATAAATAGATATGAAAGAAAAGAAATTATTTATAAATATAAAATAGAAATGTAATGGTGAGGTGGAGAACCCACAATCTCCGTAAGTTCTCGTAGCCTTTAAAAAAGTATCATGTATTTTTATGAAAGTTTTAATTATAGGTCTCCTTTATTATTACTAATTTAAATAGGGCATCCCATGATGCAAAAGTTACCCACCCATAGTTTATCTCAATTATAATTATTAATTTATGTTTTAATTCATAAAAAGCCACCTTTTATCGACTTTGAACGGACGGCAAATTGGAGACAACTCCGGACTTCTATGAAATATACTGTCATTTGCAATTTATTTCATTGGTTTCTATCTTTTTTTTTCAAAAATTATTAAAGATTTACGTAAGAAAGTAACTTTTGGACCACCCAGTATGTACAGGGTGGCCAAATAAGAATGCGAGGTACTGTATCTGGGAACCTGTCCATCGTAGGCTTGCGGTAAAAAAATTTATTACTAAAACGGCCACGAGAAAAACCTGGAAAATATTTTTAAGTTTCTGAAATGGCCGCTAGGGGGCGTAACTGCAATCTGGAATCTAAAAAGTTATTTTTCTGTGAATGCCGCTATATTAACCTAACAAAAAAATGTCCGGTCTTTGAAGACGACGACAATCTGAACCTTTTTTGTTTGACAATTTTTCCTGTATCTCTAAAAATGAAGTGGTGGGGGTATTCAATGGTTTCCGTAAAGAACACCCTGTATCTTCGAAACGACTGAGCCGATTTTAACAAACTCGTGTTAATTGAAAAGAATTATTCTTCGGCTACAAATATTATAATATTGGAAGTTTTGTTAGTTCCACATATCGCCGCTTGAGGGCTTTTTTCGACATTCCGACAGAAATTGTTAATTTTCTCAAAAAAATTAAATGCACTGGTTCCATTTTTTTTTCATGAAAAAGTAGCTAAATGATGCCTAAACAAGCTCGCGAAAACCGCATCTCGATATCTTGTTCCTAACCTAAAATTTAGTTAGGCCAAAGAAAATTTTATACCCTCAAAATTTTATTTTTTTAAGATAATTTTTCCGGAATTATTTTTATTATATAATTTGTGGCCCTAAGGTGGATCGATTTAAAAAAGGAAGCTTTTAATGCCGCCGTAAATGCTCGAGGTGCCGTTTTCGCGAGATTGTCATTTAGCTACTTTTTCATGAAAAAAAATCGAACCAATGCATTTAATTTGTTTGAGAAAATTAACCATTTCTGTCGGATTGTCGAAAAAAGCCCTCAAGCGGTGATATGTGAAACTAACAAAACTTCAAATAGTATAATATTTGTAGCTGAAGAATAGCTCTTTTGAACTAATCCGAGTTTGTTTAAATCGTCTCAGCCGTTTCGAAGATACAGGGTGTTCTTTAGGGAAACCTTTCAATACCCCCCACCACTTCATGTTTAGAGATACATGAAAAAATATTCCAACCTCATTTTACCATACACGCCTATCATTCGTCACGTAAATTATACAGATTCAAAATAATATTCAGTAAATACATACTTTCACTACATTCCATGATTCGTTTAGCCATTCCGAGGTATCGCCTGATGATGGACGAGAAATAAAGTCCGAAATCGATAGCGACTAACATTTTATAATAAAACAAAATTAGTGTAATATTTTCGACAACCACAGGAAAAATTGTTCAGATTATCGTCGACTTCAAAGACCGGGTATTTTTTTGTTAGGTTAATATAGCGGAATTCACAGAAACATCACTTTTTTAGATTCCAGATTGCAGTTACGCCCCCTAGCGGCCATTTCAGAAACTTAAAAATATTTTCCAGGTTTTTCTCGTGGCCGCTTTAGTAATAAATTTTTTTACCGCAAGCCTCTACGATGGATAGATTCTCAGATACAGTACCTCGCATTCTTAGTTGGCCACCCTGTACCTAAGACATTAATAAATTATTCGATCAATGCCTACTCTTCAATGTTGAAACTTCAAACGACATGTATTGATGAAAACACAAATATATAGGAAATCAAGGCCTACTCCAAAATGAAAAAAAAATCGTATTTAAAAAAATAAGGTCTTAAAGAGCATAGAAAAGTGCCTTAAGAAAGTTCTCGACGGAAATCTTTGCCTCCATATTTAATCAACTCTTTATCTCAAGTTACTAAGATAGCAATCGAATTTGTAACACCCTGTATAATGAGAGATTTTGTGCAGCTGCATTGGTTTTATTTTTATTTTAAAAATAAAAAGAATATTAAAATTCCGAATACTTTCTAGACGGATTATTAGTTTACACGAAAGTCACGAAACGTCTAAAGCGGGTAGTGAGGACTTCCTAATGACGTATCTGCTTGAAAAATGCACCTTTGTCGTGTATTTTGTAGGCATAATTTGTCATGTTTGCGTCTTTTGTAAAATAATTTCGTGTTTGGTAAACAAATTTGCACCTGATGTACAATCGAATCGAATTTAGGTCAAAATTAACGGTGACATTAAAATTACTTCACTGGCAGCAACAGAGCAACATGGCATCCTTCGCTCCCGCTAAAGTTTATTTGTGACGTATCATGCCATTGCCATTGGTTAGTTGAGTGACGTCATGATCCGTAACGATTACTGTGACCGACTCGATGCGGCCCCCCTTATGTCTTTAACGAGGACTAAGGCGCGCGGGTTGCGGGGACGGGGAATTTACCAAGTTGTACGGGTACGACGGGGGTTTAGTCAGTTACTGCGCAACGGCCATCGTGTTATGTTGTTTTATCGTCCTCACGTATATCTAGTATGGTTTTGTACGGTTGTAAGCGAATTGGCGTCTTTTAGGTGGTGTCTGTGCGTAGGTACATTTCGTTGTGTGATATAAAGTGAAACTAAAATGTCGGTAATGCAAATGCAGCAAGCGAAACGGCAGCATTGTTATTTATGCGATCTCCCGCGAATGCCGTGGGCGATGGTGCATGATTTTACGGAAGCGGTTTGTAGGGGGTGTGTGAACTATGAGGGTGCCGATCGTATCGAGGTTGTATTAGAAAATGCGCGTCAAATGAAACGCGCTCACGGTTTTCAAGAGCAACGGTCGAGTCATAATCCCAAAAGCCATCGTACAGCCAGTCACGAACATCAGAATGGCGACGTAGTTGCTGCTACGAGTCGACAGCAGTCCGGAACGCACCACTCCGCCAGTTACGGCTTACATCATTCTAGATCGGGAATTTTAGCCACGGAATATCAAGCTGCACAATCGGCCCCTCCTCCGAGAGGGTCCTCTTCGATGCCCCGTCCGCTGCAAGAGGCTGCAGTTGATCACGAAGCGATGGTGAGCCGCGCAACGGTCAGATTACCTACAGCAGCTCATATGACAGCTGCTTCCCATCACCCCTTGCAGCAGCATCACCATGCTAGCAACGGCAGACCTACTTCTATTCCCCAACAAGGCTTGAAACGTGGATTATCAAATAACGACGAAGATGACCATCACGGTCACCATCCTAACGGAGAATTAAACGGAGCCAAACGAATGATGTCCGTCGAGGAACATAGCAGTGGCGTAAGACCTCCTCTAACTCGAGGAGAATCTTTACCCGCGGTTTCTTTGGCGCAACCCTTCGCGATTGCCGAAAGGACATTTAAACAGGAAAAGCATCCGATTAGAACGCCGTCATTTGACACCGCAACTGCGTTTAAATCTAATGGTGAGAGAGATATCCCATTTTCTTTAATTACAGGAAAGTGCAGCTTATTTAATAATATAATGGTATGACGTCACGTATTAACATGCCAGACGTGAAGTATACGTCACACGCTTCACGATAATGGTGGCTTTAGCATTTGGTTAGAACACCAAGCCTTTGTAAGCTTTGCATCCGGTTCAACGGTCGGGCTCAAGTGACATTTATAATACTGCTGACGTAATGTTTATTTTTACAAAACGTTGCTGCTCGGCTCAGAGAAATCATATGTCTCACGCAATCCGTTCCCCTTGAGTCATAGGGAAATATATGCGCGCGACTTTTTCCATACGTTCTTCAATACTTTCACTTTAAAAATATTGATTAAGTTTTAATGACATGTTGCCCTTGCGAGAATTGTTGTATGTGGCCTTATTTTTACTAAACTCTTCTGTTCGATGTTTTAAAGAAACCAGTTTTGCCCGAGCGACCGGTTTGCGTTATTACTCGCCCGTCTACTACGTCATTGCTTTCACAATATTGTGGCCAGCCAGCCGTATTTATTTATGCGGAGAACCCATACTACGTTCCTGCATGCCGCTCCCATTTTACTTTACCGTTGCTTCGACTTTTTTTTAGTATTTAGGTTCCGACGTAAATATATTCTTCGTCTGTTTGTGGATTCCTTCAAAACTATCGTCATCGGTAAAGTAAAATCGTTTATTTACATCAGTGGAGTTTGGTCTTGAATTGAGCATGTCTCCTCTGATTGGATATCTAATACCGCCCTTTTTTTAAACAAAATTGTTTTGCGCTCGCGACCAACATTTGAGGACAAAATATCCGGTTTGAAACGTCATCAATTTCTTAATCAATGTAGGTAGCGAGACAACTTTAAATAACAGTAACTGCTCAAGACGAAACGTAAAAAACTTGAAGAAGCACATTTTTTGTCCCTGTTGTAGAAAAATTTCTCTCGGGCGAAGGAATTTCAAATTGACCTCGCCGAGACATTTTCACGTTCGCTATGCACTTGATTCATACGATCTTTTTTTCCCTTCCCTTCTACAACGCCCTACACTGGTCTCTTCCAGCAGTTTAGACGGATTTTTCAGGGAAGTGCAGGAATGCAAAGGCCTCCCTGATATTTGATTCACAATTTTACCAACAATTGTTATACACCGCGTGAGCACCTCTTAACAAACTGACGGAACTAATTTTTTTTGCCGCTTTTTTAATTTTTTTTTAAACCAACGCCACCGTACGGAGGGGTAAATTTACCGGCAAACATGAATTCATGCTTTTCTCAAAGGTCCCGATTGACCACAGATTTTCATCAAGAGGCGTCAAAACTCAAATTTCATGCACCATTGATCACAACATACGTCTCTGCGGATATTCTCCAAAATGATTCCATACAAGTTTCCTTGAAGCAGAAAAGACAACGGTGTCGCATCAAGTGACGATTGTACCGTGATCGGTAGGGGAAGGAAAAGTCGCCGATACTGTCGATACGGTACTTCCTTAATAGGGCTTGTGTTACGTTTGCGACACGAGCGAGTAAAGCAAGTGATTCGATTGAATAAGAGTTATTTGTGTGGAGTAGGGGAGTGGAGGAGCACAAGACGCACGAACTTATAAATTAAGATGGACTGCGGATCAAACAGTTGCATAGAGGTAGAATGGTCCTAGCGTGGGCGCGGCCATGATGTGCACGTTTTAGTTATTTTCTCGGTTATTTTCTAGGGGAATTTTCCTAGTGCTCAAGTTTTGAGACTATTGCAGCCTTGGAAAATGACATGTGTCACAGTAATTTATTTAGAAAACGTGAGGTTAATGCTTGTTTATTAGTTGATTTGAATTTCGCGCCAAGTGAGTGCACGTCATGGCTGACCCCATGTAGGTGTCATTTGTCAATTTAGCATTAACAGTCCATCTTAATTTATAAGTTCGTGACAAGACGTCATAAACAAGATATTCATATATTATCGGGACAAGGTTTGTGTAAAAGATAATTTCCAAAAATTATACGGAAAGACGTAACAAGAACGATTTTTCTCTTTTCCATCATTTTAAATCGGACTATAACTAATAGATGGCGCCAAAGCCAGATCTACTACGGCTCTACGTATCAATTACGCATGCCCGCGAAGGTTTTTGATCTTAGACCGTACAGTACACGGACTGCTATTAGTCATATACTTTTAATACAAATTGAGTGGTCACGGAGGTGGTGTAGTCGTGGATAGGTGAAGCTCAGGGTAAAGTAAAGTCGTGTAAACACCACTCGGATCGCGTAATTATCTTCTATACGCCCTGAAATAAGAAAAAGTTTGCTTTTTTGGCATTTCTAGGCGGTTAATTAATTGACGTTTGTTAATTTAAAGGTCCCAGTTAAATCGTGTCTTCGGATAGACTCGTATACCCTGAAGCTGAAACACTCCAAGCGACGTCCTTGACTATATTTTGTTTGCAATTAGCAGTCCATGGTTTAAGTTTCTGATGTAGTAAAACACTTTCCGAAATTCCCACGGGAACGGGAACAAGAAAGAACAGCATTTTATATTTTACAGTCGAAAAGAGACTTGACATTTAGAACGTAGGTTTCTTTGAAGGCGTTAAGGTGTACATACTCCGAAAAATACTTCCCACGGGGCGGGGTACGGGAAAAACGGGATTTTCCAAAGGTAGTACGAAGTTCTCCGAGTATAGTAATAAAATTTTTAATTTGTATCCCAAAGGGTTTTTTACAACCAGCGGAAAAGTAATATACATACAAATATTTTTCAAGTTTTTAAAAGAGTTAAACGCAAGTATGGAGAATTCATTATTCAATGTGCAAATATACAATGTGTGCAATTTAAGTTTTGAAATTGGTAGTCACGAGTGACATGAAAATACTATTTACTATTCGTTTTTATTCATATCACCCACCAACATTTTAAATATATTCATATGATCAGTAATTGCGTTTACACACTGTATACCGGGTGACAACGAAATTACTATCAGGCTCGGATTTTAAAAACTGCTCCAGACAAAATATATTATTACATATTCACATTCTACGGAAATTGATTGTAATTACTATGCCATGGTTACTATGATCATTGTTAAAATAAAATACATTATTGAATTTAAACGAAAAATAGTATTTTTAGCACATTTTTTAATCGCTATAGTTTGTGTTTTGTCCGGCCGTCTGTCCGGACGGACTTTCACGGTATTGATCTTTCAGGGGAATTGTCCTCGAGTCCTGGAATTTATTGCTGTAGGTAACAATACGGGAATCCATTACCTTGAAGGCGTGCCAGACGACCACAAAATGTTGTTGTTTCAAGCCCCCCCCCCTCGCAATCTAATTTTTTTAATGTTTGAATCAATTGTCTATTGTGCCATCGGAGAATACCATGATTGAGCCCTTCTCCTGTCCAAAATTACATTACAAAGTATCTTGAATAGAAGTAAGCACCTATAATGTAATTCTCGATGTAATTTAATTGTGGAAAATTGAGACCGTGATAAAAATGTACAGACGGACAACGAAATTGCGAGTTTTAGCAATACAACAATACACGTAATTATGTCAGTGCACCCCCTCGCCCCTTGTGACCTTGCTATCTCTTCCCCCTCTTGGAGCGTCACGTGATTAATGGACGACCTATATTTTAGTCCAAATTCCAAATGCAATCACAGGGTGCCATACTATGTTCCGTTGAAACCGGAAGTGGCACGTCTTTCACGATCAGCTATGGTTGGTAGAAAGTTGGATGAAAGATAAAACTAGCCCCCCCCCCCCCAACCCCGTGCTCACTGATCTCGAAAAATAGTCGCACGGGAATGTTATAGTTTGTACAAACCCATTGGTTGTCGTGTGTTAAAGTTATGCACGTTTTACTTTCAAAAAGAGCATCTCAGGAAATTATTCGTTTGTGTGGGGGGGGGGGGGCTTTTAGCCAGCGAAATTTGATGGTCGCCTGGCACACCTTCAAGGTATAGGCTAAAAAGTTGTGTAGCATTAAAAGTTATGGAAGACTTTCAATTGTCATCAGTCTACTTTGATTTTTTCACCACCATCCAATACTTTTGAACTCATGTCTGTAACAAAAATCAAAGCAGGCTGATTTGTATGACAATTGATAATCTACCATAGCTTTTAATTCTAAAAACTTTTTACTACAGTTTTGTTATATCTGCTAAAATAAAGTGTACTCTTGCCTAATTTTTAGAATTCGGCAAAAACCTTGTATATTTATTATAATTGATTTTATCATATACATAATTCGAGAACGAAGAGAGATAGCGATGTGAAACTGTCGCCAATCGATTTCTACGAGTCCAAGTACAAGTGTTATTGAATATGAGCCGGATTAAAAGTCGCGTTTTCGAATGGCGCACTGATTTAATTAGGTTCCAGCGGTGCGCAAACGATCTACTCCGCGGTGACTATCTTATTTGCGGAGAAATCCTTATGAAACTTCGCTTGTAGGGTCAAAACTTCATATGCGAGTATCTTGAGAACGGAGTGTTGGAAGTGGGTACTTGCAAATGGAAAGTGATAGGTCTCTCTGAGACGCATCCAACGGTACCACCTGACATTCGACCTGATCGGATTACTAACAACAGAGATATATTTTGGAGAACGAATGGTCGTAACGGAGTAGGTACTCACAAAGTGAAGAGTAAAGTTTTTTGATAGATGCATGTGTGCAAATTTGAATTCGAATATGCTTTCAGGTTTGACCGATAATCCGAATTATTGATGTAATGGAACACCTCGTATATTTTTTTGAGTTTTGAATACACAATAAAAAGACCACGTTCAAAAATACTACTGTCTTTATCTTCAAGACAATGGAAAATACGGAAACATAATTGTTTAAAAAAATTAATAATTAATGTTTTAAGAGACAATTTATTTAATATCACAATACACTTTTATTTTTCGTACCCTACAGGAACTTATAAGCATTATTGCGTCAAAGAATTTTTTTCGCTTTCGATCTTTCGGTTAAAGACAGGAAATACAATGGCAGATGTTTACACGACCCTCCCGTTCTTAGCACAGCTGCCTAAAGGAAATGATAATAATGCAACGGTATCTGCACCTGTACCTTTTGAAGAAGGCATTTTTCTATAAGAACGAATGGGGGCATGGATATATTTATTCTTTAGTGCTGTAATTATAGTAGAAACTGCGAGGAGATTACTTTACCCTGTAATCGGAGAGACTAAATAAATATGTCTTGGATTCAGACCTCTTGTTACTGAAGGTTGAGTATCACCACACAATAAGTAAGAGATTATTACATACTAACAGTTTTTTTTAACTTACTAACAAATAATTAGGAGTTGGTAGTAGACGTAGAAACAGTTTCAAATCATAGTTATCGAATTGTCCACCACCACCGTCATCGAGACTCGTATGAAAGATACAACTTTGTAACTAGCGGCTTGCAATTCTTCACTGGAGTGCCAAGTAACTATTTAAATAACCTGGGGCCCACAAGGTGAAGAACATATTTTAGCGTGTCTTCGGGTATTTGTGCAGGCGCGTTGTCACGTTAAAGAGAACCTTGTCATTTGCCGTCACACAATTAATTAAGAAAATTTATTTGGCAACATGATACGACTTCCTTATATACAAGGGTTTTCTGCGCTGATAATTTGAGCCTTGCGGCGATGACGACCGCGAGTGCATTTTGTCGCTTTTTAGAGGAAGTAAGGAAACAGCCAAAAATAAACATGTTGTTTATAAAATACTAGCAGATCCGGCGAACTACCTACCGCCTTTGGGAAATCTCGTTTCCTTGGGCGGGAGTGGTGAACGACATACCGCCTATTAGTCCATATTTTCTTGGATGGGACATACGCACACCCGGCGAACTTCATACCAATTTATTTACATAGAAACCTTCGCGGGCATACGTCCGACCATTTCTCAAATTAACTTCATCCCTCGTATCAAATTTGTTGTAATACGTGGCTATTCGTAACGTACATACGGTATTACTCACAAGGTCTCCCGAGTCTCATATGTTTGATAATCCTGTTGTGGAAAAATAGTAGGCAGTTCACCTAATCAGGGTTGATCAACCTTGACGATTCGCTTCCCCCCTTCAACTGATGTTTATGAATCTGTTATAAAACAATAAGCAATTAAATCAAACCTATTATTCAACTGTTATTTTCACATTTGCAATGCATTCCACATTTTACAGTTTTCAATTTAGGTACGAATTAAAGTTGTTTTATTGTTGCTAGGGTGGATATCAAGGTTGCGGCCGACATTACACAAGTTTTTGTTGTGACGGACGTGCACGTTTGAAATAAATGAATTAATTTCGGTACTAATCCATCATTGGACACTTACCTAATGTCTCGTGAATTCGATTGGTGCATAACTACACACTACACAGCGCTTCTTATAAAAAGGTAAATTGAACATATCGGTACGATGTTCAAACCGCTCCGTTTAGCGCAATGGCACCAATGTTTCAAATGCTAGAACGAAGCGCGTTCGAGATTATTTTTCCATTCGATACAGATACCCGAATCAAGAAAACTAGGTGGCAACCATCCCAATTTTGATTAAAAAATCTGATATTTATTGATAATTTCGGTGGGAAAAAGTCCAAGCACATTATTTCTTCGATGGCGACTGCAAAATCGATCTAACCCAAAAATGTTGGCATTTGTTACTTTATGTTTGAACTATTCACAGCTGTTTTACAATTTATTCGAGAAAAAGGCGGGTTGTCATTTGTGATCATAATACAAACGCACTGCAACGACATCTTACAGGCAAAATGATAATCGGAAACGTAATTCCATGTAAAAAACACATGCCCAATAGCATTTTAACGTACAAGACTACTAAGAATTAAAATGTGTTCAGTGTGACTATGCATCGAATGACAAATCTAATGATAAAACACATTTATTAATATACAAGATCACCAATGATTTAAAGTGTGTCCGGTGCGCTTTCGTTACCAAACATAAATCCAGTCTTAAAGCACATCTTAACATTTGTCAAGATATGCATACTGCCAGGATTTAAAATGTGACCGGTGTGATTTTGTCACATTTTAAAATTTGTGAAAAAATTATGGTTAAAATGCTTGATGTTTGAAACCACAATGTAAAAGCCACCGACATTGAGTTTCAGTTCTTATTTTCGGTCCCTCCTGAAATAAGCTGCCTTTCCAAATGGACATTCCGCTATACTAATACAGTAATATTATATATAGAGAACTGATTGTAGGATACACGACAACCGTTTCAGTGGCAAGCGGCACTGGTGCAAACTCACACTCTCCACTAAGTACCAGGACAAGCTCACCGCCCGAAACAAATGCCACAAGTGCAACGCCGACACAAGCCACACAAGGATCCGGTCAAAGTCCAATGGCGGCGCTTATGTCCGTCGCCGATAATTTACCTCCAGGTAGCCCTAGATCTACCGGCGGAAGCCCGCCGACCAACGCAGCGCCAAGATCCGCTTCTCGAGGTTCTCAACATTCGCCAAATTCGACAGGTTGTAATTTTGTCTGTCTTTATTTAAATCTAACGAAAACGCTATTGCAGCAAGCTCGAGTGGGCGCAGATCATCTGGATCTCGCCATGTGTCATCGACAACGGTAACCTCGAGTGAAAATGCGGGCGGTACTATAGGTCCTGGGGAGGTGATGACGGCGGGAACGGACGGTGTCGCTCCGGCCGCTCCACCCGCCGCGAGCCTTAAATGCACATTGTGCCAGGAAAGATTAGAAGATACACATTTTGTGCAGTGTCCATCTGTACCACATCATAAGTTTTGTTTTCCTTGTAGTCGAGATAGCATTAAAAGACAAGGTGCAGGTTCAGAGGTAAGATACTACAAATTTATTTTATCATTGCGGATTGGGGTTATGACGTAAATTTTTCTGCACACCATAAAATAATCAAACATTATGACTGGCAAATAAAATAAAATTTGGATGGGTTTGATATATGAAATTATTATTATTATTTAAACAAAAGGTTGCACTAGTGAACTAAACTGAATTTGATTGGATGATTTTTTAATGCAAAAACCAATACAAACGCCATTGCATTTCAATTTTTTTTAATCGCGTGTATAGCACAAAAAATGCAGAAAATGCAGTGACCTATCTCGTGAACTGTAAGAGATAGAAGTCTCTTAAAGGGACAAAGTTATGCAAAATTGTATACTGATTAATTTCCGCTTTCCAAGTTTTTTGTAGCTCTATAAATAGCGAAGTTATGACCAAAAAACTGCAACTGGTCATTTTTGGAAATACGCTGATGTTCAATTATTTTCAAAGGTATCAAAACATATTTTTTACGTCCTCCCTGAAAATAAGGTCACAACTGGCATAATCCGCCATATTGGGGCTAAAAAATGGTTTGATCGTAGGATCAATATACCTTGCAATGTTAAATTATGTATAATAAACAATGTCAGTTTCATTTAAAGATTCTCGTTAAATAAACGGCGCGGAAATGATCGTTTAAAACCTGCAGAAGAAGCTATGCGGGAACTACTGCTTACCAAATTCAAAAAGATTGTGGAAAACGGTATAATAAGTATAACATTTGGTGCACGAACCAAATTGTACATATAAAGGTAGCCATTAAGCATTAAATTGTATTTGACAGTTCCAGTGTCTGCTGTCAGTTTTTGTCCCTCGTCGCATTTTGTGAGAGAAAAAGTGCCATTTTAGTCTCTTAAATGAATGACAAAACACGTTGATTTAGTCCGGACTACGAAAAAGCAATATACCAAACTATGTCTATATAGAACCGAATGTCCACAATATACATTTTACCTCGCATTTTACCTTACGCAGCACTTTTATTCACAAGAACACAAAAAACACGTAAACTACTATACCAAAGTATAACAAATTAGCCCCAATATGGCGACCGGAACCAACGACCAATCAAAAACGAGATACCCGGTTTTCACTATTCTAAATAGAGTCATTGTAGTACCAGTAACAAAATTAGAATAGATCACGTATGCTTGGAAGTGATAATTATCTACAAATGTCAAACTGTGAACAGACTTTTTTTGGGTTTTGCCGTATTTTCATTTCGAAATTCACGGAACTCGTAGAAAAAGTATGGTACGCAATTGTAATCTGCGTATTACAGGTTCGTTGGCATCGTGCGCATTTTTTTTACTCTCTTGTAATACGCGCTATCACAATCTTATGACGAAATATACTATAATTAAACCATGGGTGATATTTCCTGGGCTTTCTAATGGTGCTTAAATAAAATTTTTGTGATTTGTGAGTTTCGAGTAGTTCACATAAATTTTCTTATGGGCGCCATATTGGATTTTTACGTCACTCTATAAAACAAAATTACAAAAGCAGTGACACTAAACACTTAGTAGGCCAGTTATATTTGACTACCAGTAGTGTATATCCAACTTTGCAGCGCTCGAAAAACCGGGAAATGTTCGCACTTGTTTTGGTTTTTTGAATACAGGGTGTCTTAAATTGAGTAGGATAACATGACCATCTTTGTTATTATTATACTTTAGATTGGGTTAAATTTGCAAAGTTTTTGATGCTGATGAATATTCCAATGCGATATTTTGAAAGATATTTTCGTCAACTTATTTTAAATGGACGCCATATTGGATTTTTACACAGTTTGATACAGTTTTTTTTCTCTTTCCGAGCATGTATGTATAACAAGTTATCATTCAAATAATAAACATGGATAAATGAAAAATTACAATTTCCATTTTTTCTTCATAGTTGGCCATGGAAACAGCAAGCAATTCACATTTTGCAATGTTGCAAATTGTCTGGTCGGCCAGTAGTTTTATTAAAGGATTAATTAACATAAAAAAATATAATAACGGAATTACAGCAAATGTTCCAACCTGGTACTTGTGGAGTGCAAGACCACTTCCATATAACCATAACAGGTCTGGCGATGATGGCAGAATTTCAGCACCAACAAGCAATCGTGTGATCAGTTATACAACTCTTCAAGCGTGGGATTGCCTTTTTAGGCAATTCAGCAGAGACTGGGGTGATTACCATGATGCCGTCTCTCTCATAGAGTGTTTTTCCCATCCAACATTAACGTCAGCATTGTCAAATGTGAACTGCATGAAGGATCCTTGTTCAAGGGGGGGGGGGGGGGCGGAGTGGATTCTCCTCGTACGATGACTGAGCTTTCGAGGCTTGTAATAGCGTTCGATCTGGTCCATGAGTTTGTTTAAAGAAAACTGGCATGCCTCCCTGTTTTCTTCGCCTAGGAAAGAATATCTACATACACTCATACTCTCAGTGATGTTTTTGGCTCAAAGTACCCTCTTTTTAGTCAGTAGTCGGTTTAGGTTTGTTCAGTTTGATGCAGCACAAAGGAAACACATATTCTGCAGGTTACAGGATCTTGAAATATTTTATGCCGAGACTGGTGCAGGTCGCACTTGGGACACATGTCAGAAAAAAACTAAGATGCGCAGGGGTTGTACGCGTTTACAAGATCTTTCCGATGACAATTTAAAAACAATCGGACTAAAACTGTAGAAGAAGATAGGAAAAAAACAGAAAAATCACCACCTAGTATAACACGCTCGGGGACGGCGCCCAGATGTCGCCCACCCCACATCATGTGGCCCCTTCTCTAAATTTGTTAATTACCGGGCCCTGGTAAGTACATGTACACTCCTCGTTTTTGTATAAGCGTTTTTCTACAGCCTCACATTTAATTTTTCGTCAAGATCTCCATCATAAGCGCTACCAACAACTAAATAGAGCAATTTTGCAAACAATTTTTGGATTTTTAAGATTTATGAGTAAACTATATGATCTACAGATAGTCATTCTGTGCTTAAATTAAAGGTAATTACATTTTTCACAATATTTTCCATGACTTTTCCAGTTAAATGAGTATTTTCCTCGATATTGGGGTCGAAAATTGACCAAACCTTAAAATTTACATTTTTGGAGGGCTGATGTTGGTAAATATGGGGCTGGTTTTGCTATAATAATAATAATAATATTTATTATACCGTTATCCGTGTGGGTACACTTACGGTCGTCATTGGAAAAAAAAATATTACAAACAAAATACAAAGGTACATTCAGAGACTAACTAACAGAGGAGGATAACAGAGTACAATTTTACATATTATATCGCATAACAGTTTTTCATGAACTCTTCCTGACAATAAAAAGCATGTGACAATAAAAAGCATGCAATGCTCTCAAATGGTATCCATTTTAGTCTACTTTAAAAAGGTATAGGGAAGGTTTTTAAATAAAACGCATAGTTTAGGACTTATATTTTAAAAAAAACAAAACAAGTGCGAAAATTTCAAAGTGGTTTCGAAGTTACAAACTTACGCTACTGGTAGTGATCCTAACGGCACATTAAGAAATCAGCATTTAGTTTGGGATTTTAATGTTCAATATGATTGCTCAGTGCTCTACAGTATTTCATTTGGGAAACAACCTTGAATTTTTGCCTTGAAGTTTACAATGTATTTCTTATGGCAATCATTCCATAGCTTGCTTGAAATTGCTTTAACATTTTTCCTTTATTGTCTCTTATATCACCATCAACGTGGAGATGGAATTGTCATAAAAAATACATTGTAAGCATCAAGGCAAAAATTAATGGTTGATTCCCAAATGTGTGTTGTGTAATTCTTTCTCTATCCAGTGATGTAAAAATTCAATATGGCGTCCGTAAGAAATAAGAAAGTTGAGCTTTTTAAAAATAGTAAGTAATGTTTCAGTAACCGATCCCTAATAGAGGAACACAATCTTGCTGCATCTCTTAATGCTATCACAAATAGAGATGGCCCCTTTCCAGTTTTGAATACGTTTAGGAAAGAGTGTGCAGAAAACGATTAGTGAAAACCAAAATCACGCGAATGGTCATTACTCAAATTTATTTAATTGAATTTTCCAAAACTATTATACTTAATATGTAATAATTTGTCTTGTAGGTCTATTGTCCAAGTGGAGAAAAATGTCCATTGGCAAATTCCAATGTCCCGTGGGCTTTTATGCAAGGAGAAATTGCGACAATTTTGGGCGAGGAATATAAAGTAAAGAAAGAACGGGAGACTTAATTGCAAGAACGTCTTGTACAATGTGCTGGCTCTCTTGTTCTCAATTGAAAAAAAAATTGAGAAATTATCGCAGTACGAGATGTGTCTCGAAATTTGTGGAAAAGTTGGCGAAAGTTGGTGCAGCCGTTGGCATTTGATTAAGCTGATGGATCCGATTGAAAATGTAAATGAAAAGAAGGCTGTGTCCATTATTAGTTATATTTAGATATTTGGGATATCAGTCCATCTATCCATCTTGCGAATTGTATAATCTACACCGAATTTATTACTTGTTGGCTAATATCGCCGAATTTGTACATACGCACTGATTTGTTTTGCGTAAAGGTCGATTTGTCTGTAATATTTTGGGCAAAAGATGTCACGTGCGGAGAAACCTAAATATTTAGTTGTTTTGTGAATTAAATATTGTATTGGATGATTGGTTCCAAATTATCGTTGTAAATATTGTATATAATACATTGTCTACTGTTCGATTGAAATTGTACAAAATTATTTGATAAGATTTGCCAGAATAAATTTAATACGCACAACTAGTTTTTAAAGAGACACCTTTGTATTTGTCAGCTGGTTGTACATATCAAATTTATTTATTGTACTATGATTAGTTTTATTTATTTCTTAAAACTAATTTTGTGGGAAAGTCTGAATAAGCTGTAAATATTGTATATTCATCAGCTATTTTTTTATATAGTAAACAAATTACATGTTTAAAATATGATTATTGTTTATTTTAGTGGTACATTGGGCCATGGTTTGGTATTTAATGAATATAACTTTTTGAAAGTAACCTAGTCAAAATGTGAAGTGAAAGGCACTTCATATAGGAACTCCAAAACTCGCTGGTAAATGTAAGAACGATTAATTAATAAATTTACCGAGTAATAATAACTTGTATATTATCAAAGATATATTATCCCATGATAAAGATCCTTTTGTTTATTTTATTAACAAGAACAATTTGAAGTTTGCCAGGCGCAAAATTGTCAGATATTCTTGATAAAGGTAAACAAATTGTCAGTTTTTGAGAAACTGTATACTTTGTAAATATTTATAGATAGCTTTTACAAGGTTTAGAAGACGCATTTATTTAGAAAATTGCCCTCTGTTTTAATATATTTAGTTCGTGTGTTTATATTACAAAAAGGTTTGGTATTTTGGTAATTGTAATTTTGGGTTACACGTAAAGCGGAAAGTGGTTTTGCTCAAATTTTTTTTTATTCTGCAAGAGGGATAGTATGTACTTCATTTATCTTGCCTAATTTTAAATATTTTCCTGTACTTTGGCCCTAATACTAGAACTTGATTGTAGAAATGTGCGAATTTGTGACTTACAGCACAGATAATTAAATGTATTGACAATGTCAGTTTTGTAAACAATGGCTGTTAAAGAACCAACTGACATGATTGTTTCAAGCTTGTACAATCGTTACTGTTATTTGATGTCGAATGTCGAAATAAATAATCTATGTAAACGGTTTGTTTCATACTTCCATTTTTGCCATGTGTTATGTGGGTCAATTTTATTGATCACAAATCTCCATCAAGTACCAATTTAAACTACATATGCACCAAATATTACTATACATTACCAAACCACGTTTTCTTTCACACTAAGAAATTTTTGAGTAAAAGTTAGTCAATTAACTCTAAATGCACAAAATTTATTTAAATATGTTTCAGGTTCCAGATTGGACATTTGTAACTGCCCTGAGTTTGAAGCTTATCTTGAATAATGAGTTATTTTATGGCTACATTTTCAGCTTGGAAATAAATAACTGCATAACTCAAAGCGTCCAGAAGAATAGGCATTTTTTGAAGTATTGCCACTGGGTTGGAACCTCTAAAGGACAGTAATATGCGATCAATTGTTCTATATGTGAGAAATCGGTAAACATTTTTGAAATTTTTTGGTATAGTTCTTTTGGGTCACAGTTGGGAGACTGACGTTTTTAAAATAGCATGAAAATTTTGTTGAATAATCTGATAAACTGTAAAATGTTGTAGTAGTAGGTGATTTTAATGTAAAAATAAATTTAGCCGTCAATCTAGGTTAAATAAACATTAAAAAAAGTTTTGAAATTTGGCCAAAATGTACTTTGGACCTTCATCTTGAACATATCCAAAAACCTCAAATGTGGGAGGTGCGCAACGCCATTTTGAATTTTAGGCCTCTTTTTTTTCAGCTTTTCTCAATATCTCATAAAACCCAACTTTGTCATAACCTCTTATATTTACAAAATGTAAGCTCATTCAATTTCCTAAAAAAAAACGTATAAAAAGATTTTTTCTAGCATTAATCAGTTGGGAGATATACAGGGTGAGTATTTTTTCCAATGTTTCCCATAATGGATACAAAGTCGCTTCTCTGGGCAAAGAATTGCAGGAGGGAAAAATTCAAGATTCATTCCCAAATGAAATACTAAGGTATCTTTGGTTTTGTAATTTTCTTCTCTATCGTGTGACATAAAAATCCAATATGGCGTCCATAGCAAATAACAAAGTTGATATGTGCCAACGACACCTCTTTCCATTCCCATTCTTTTGGTTCAGAAGGTTTCCCACCGCAATTGGATCTGGTGGTAAACGCGCGCTAAAACCAGGTATGTCGGAAGGCGTTTTTGGTGTCGTGGTAGGGAAATTAGACTATTCAGAAGTTCTGCTCTAGGTATATATCTGCCAAATGGGTAGTGCGTAGGAAATTTAATGAGCTTTTGTTTTGTAAATATGTGGTCATGAAAAAGCTGATAATTTTCGAGATATTGAGAAAAAACCGAAAAAAGGGACCTAAAATTGAAAATGGCCGCATATGGGGTTTTTGGATATTTTCAAGAGGAAGGTCCAAAGAACATTTTGGCCAAATTTTAAAACTATAATAAGTTGTATTTTTATTTGGTGATTTTGGTAGTAGATTGACTATGATCCTTCAAAGAAAAACAAGAAAATTCCGATTGCTTCCGAAGATATGCCAGAAAAATCAAAATTTGCCGATTTTGTTTTTTTATTTTTTCCTGGCGTTATTTGAACAGATACAAAAAAAATAGAAACCACTTTTCATTGCCACTTTTTGAGCTCTACAAGACACTGTTCAGAGATTTTCAATACAACGTTTTGTTTCGGAGAAATCATCCTCAATTTTTTTTTATATGGCCCGTAAAAAAAGTGCATAGTGGATTGAGTAGCATTTTTTTATACTAGACGACGTATAATTTTATTGACATCAACATTAACATTACATTTGTAAATTATGGGGTATTATGCAGCTGTTGTTCAGAATCCGCACCCGGTCTCGGGGACTGCTGACAATAATTTTCTTTAATGTTGCGGGGCGAGGGGGGGGGGGCGGTTCTTCAGGTTGGAATAATGTCGAAGCATCTTGTATGTGTAAGTGTATTAATTTAGTTTAAATCTGAAGGATTTATTACCAATAACCGCCCAGAATTGGTTTATTTAATCGGAATTTGTTATTTTAGTGTCTTTTTGTTCATTTTAGCTGTTTTAAATTGTTTAATTTTTTGTTTAAATTTTATCCTTCGTTTTATTTAAGTTATTGATGATGTTAAAATTGCGTATTATGACAGGTTAAACATCTGGTCGTTTTGCAATAAGACTTTTTAATTAACGCACGTGTTTCTTTATCGCTGTTAGAAGAGGTAACGAAAAGGCAGGTGTGGCCGAGTGGGTACGTTTCTTTAGGGCATTAATTTCGGTGAAGTGGGGACGGGCGTCGCGTTCTGTTTTGTTGATGTATTGAATTTGGCAGAAATAGGGGTCTGATGAAGAAATTGTGTTGGTTTACCTACTTGAAAATTAGTAACGCCAGGTTATGTTATATTTGTTCCAAATCGAGTGGTGAAGTTTCCTGAAGGTTTCAGCGAGTATTTTTGTTGTCGGAATATCGCACGACCGTAAATGTAACGGGCTTGTGCCCCTCTTTCTTTTGGGTTTTTCTTGATTATTTTTTTTGCATATGAGTTTCGAAATTAAATGCTTTTGTCTTTGTCAATCAATTAATTGTGTATTTATTTGAATCCATTTTACGATCAAGATAGAGTTCTCATGTTCATCATAAAAATTCAAGTTTCAATTTTTGATTTACTTGAACTAGCTGGTCAGGTGTTGTTTTGTTTTTCCATTGACTTGAATTTCAAAAAGTCTTCCAAAGTCAACAATACCTACTGACTTGATGCTGCATGAGGAATGATTTAAATTTTGATCGCCCTTCTACAGAGTGTTTTAAAACTAATGGTCAATTTTAATAATTTCAAACGTTAAAAAGTCGATTTTTTCAAATGAAACTTGCTTTATTTTTTGCACTTTCAAATGGCAAAAAAAATTCTACATTGATTAATCATTATATTCCCTATAACTATCTGTTATGTTTTTTGTTTTATTTTAGATTTTCTAAAATTGTCATATGCATATTTTTCTTAGGAGGCCTTGAAATAAACGCGTTTTCGGTCAGAAACGCTCTCTGTTTGACAGAATCCAGACTGCGCGCTGTGTGGCAGGACCTTTAGTAATACCGCATATTACAGTATTTAAACACTGCCGCAATTAAGTTTGTATTTGTGAAAGAATAAATGAAATGAAATTATTGTTAATTTTTTTTAATCTGCGCTAATTTTGACATTGTCAGCTTTTTGAATTTTGAGTTTTTTTGAAATGTACTTCGCAGTATAAACAGTGGCGTAACTACAATGCCTCAAAGGTACGCAATGAAGACGGGCCCCAACTTAAAAGAGGCCCCGGCAAAAATGTACACAAAATTTAATTCGTTTATACAAAATTATGAAAAAAATTAAAAATTCCCGAACTTCAATGGTATGCTTCTATTAATTATTTACATATTTCCCGTTACTAAAGATAAAACGTAAAAGAGCGTAATGCAAATGCTGGCTAATGTTTTATTTACGAAGGGCCAAGTACCTGCATTTTTTACAGTTTACAATTTCAGTCCGAAGAAAATTCTGAATCATTGTTCATGGAGGGTAAATACAAATGAAAAATCTGGAGCAATATCTGCAATATACAAAATACAATCCGAGGAAGTCACTCTTGAATTTGAATCATTTAAATCTGACTTTAATCTAATACACCATTTGATATGCTCAAAAGTAGCCAACCCAAATAGATTTAAAAGCAACTCCACTCCTTTATCCAATTTGTGAAAAATAACTTACATAAAGTAAATGAAATACTTCGTCAATTAGCGGGACCTTAGGTCCTGGATACGGTAACCTTAGACTGAAGTTGTATTTAGAGATGAATGCCGCTAAGTAATTTTAACACTCCAGCATTTATCTCTGCATGGACGAAACAGTTAAAGACATGATTCATACACTAAGAATTGAAGTCGCTAATCAAACTAAACGACATTAAAATAGAAGGAACTGGCCAATATTAAACAAATCAAAAGAAGGATAACATTTAAAGTGAAACAATTAAATAACATGCAAATTCAAGGGTTACCTACCCCTAGTTACAAATAGCTGAAGCCAATACAAGTCACAACAAAATGAAGTACATTATTACCTTTTGTTATGGCACAAAATATTACATGAAGGTTGACAATTAAAGTTCGAACAAAATCAACTGAACGCAGAAAACAGTGACGTTAAATTTTACACTGGACCTGTGAACCAATGAATTACAAAATGCAAAATCTGCAAAGCTAAATCAAGACACTATTTTCTACGTAGGTATACAGATTAACATCGTTTGAAAATTGCTGATATAAGGAAAGGGCCCCCAAATATTTTTGAAGACGGGCCTCTAAAATGAAGTTACGCCACTGAGTATAAAACGCTCTACAGACTCATTACTTGAGCATTCCTGTGGATATAACTTATGATGTAGGTACTTACGTAATATACAGGGTGTTTTTTTGGGAGCTTTAGTTAAACGTTTCTGGGAAAGTAAAATACGTAGGTTTTTGAAAATTTGTACTTAGGTGTTACTCTGAAGGCCGAATCGATGTAAAATATTTTCAAAATGGCCGCACTTCCGGAAACACCGGAAGTAGATCGTAACTTCGTTATTTTAAATGGCAACCCCTATTTTTTATTGCATTTTTGGATTTTACGTGAAATTTCAATCCCTTTTGATACCCATATGTCGATATCTACCATTTATGGTTTTTAAGTTATTTTAACTTTAAGAAAAAAAATGGCGGATGCAGATGGTACCTTGATAATTGATTACTTGAAAAAGGTTATAGTCATGGCAACCCATTTTTATCAGTGCATAGAGAATGAATAGGGCTTTCTTTTAGTGTACTTAAAAAAAAGTTAAGTTGCGTACAACCGCACCTATGGAGATCCAAATATAAGAAACTTCAAAACTCAGTTTTTTTAAATGGAATGACCATGTTCTTAATATTGCATGAGATAGAGAATCGAAATCGGCATATTTTGATATTACATGTTCCTATAGCTATCTTTAACAGTTTCTGATTTATTCCCATTTCATTGAA